TTTAGTGCCAGCAGCACAGTGAGTAGTGACCAGGCCAACCAGAGTGAAGGGGCAGAAGCAAAGACCCATGAGGGACACAGTGCTGTCCTGGAGATTGGCATTCTCTCTGTCACCTTCCACCCTCTCCTCAGCTCTGTGCAGGAGCCTGCACCGTAATGACTCTGGAAAGAGAGGGTGAAGAAGGTGACAGGTCAGTACAAGGCAGACAGACAGACAGATGGCAGGAAGAAAGGGAGGAAGGAGGGAAGGAAAAGAGAGAAAGGGAAAGGAAGGAAGGAATGAAGGAAGGAAAGAAAAAAGAGAAAGAGAAGAAAAGGAAAGGAAGAAAAGAAAGAAAGAGAGAAAAAAAGAAAAGAAGGAAAAGAAAGAAGGGAGAAAGAAGGAAAGGAAGAAAGAACAAAAAAGAAAAGGGGGTATATAACTGGAATGAATGATTTCTAAGTGCTTCCTGCTCTAAAAATCCTGACTGTCGTTAATGACTAAGACAGTGAGCAAGGAGACGCGTGATTTAAAGCCTGCATGGAACCCAGAGGCGGAGTTCTTTGCAAAGTCATTTTTGGGAGCTCTGCCACTTGGAGCAACAGAAAGACATACAGATCCTTTGGGCCTGCGGTTGCCAAGATATTCTACATCTAGTTACAATAAAAATAAATGTTCATGTTAAAACAATTAGCTGGTAACTGAAAGTTAACGAGAGGACCAAGTTGGCTGAAGGCAGAGCAGGAAAGTGAGGAGATGTATGTTGAGTGGGCTGGTTGGTGGAGTCACCCCCAAACCGGTACTTCTGATCATCTGGGGGGATGGAGATCCTATGTAGACCCAGATTATAAAGCACCCAAAATGGTCACTTTTTTAATGAGTGCTAATCAAGGTTTTGTAAAATCAAAAAAATTGGAAGAATATGATACAGTTAGTAAAATAAATAAACATGCAAATATTTTTGCATTATTTATTCCAGAGATAAGGTTATCATTTGTTCCAGAGATAACATCCACGTAAGGGAAGAAGTAAAGGAAGAAGTGACAACGTGTAAGACCAAGAAGGACAGATTCATGAAGGCCTAAGGGTCGCTTTATATGAAGAAGTCAGATTTTCTTCTATATCACTGTAAAGCAGGAAGATATTTTATCTTTGGTGTTCTGTGTATCCTTTTTCTGACATGTTTCCTTTTGCTCATTTCTCATGGTGCTTTCCCTGGCATGGCTCAAGATGCTTTTTCTTTTTCTTTCTTTCTTTTTTTTTTTTTGGTAGCTGGCCAGTGCAAGGATCGAACCCTGGACCTTGGTGTTATCAGCTCTAACCATCTGCACTAACCAGCCAGCCCTCAAGATGCTTTTTCCGATGGTGATGATACCACCCTATTGAAAGCTCTTTGTTTGGAAACCAAAATAGCACCCTCCTGCTTTAAGGAGGAGACAGCTGATGAGTCACTCGCTTGGGCTGTGAGAGCCAGAAGACCCTTAGAAATGGTGTCATCCTGCTCGTGAAGGGGCAGGTGGAGGGACTGGCTCAAGGTGGCGCTGTAAAAAGTAGAGCTGGCTCTAAACTTCTCACTTTGCCACTCTTTGAACTCATCACCTAACCAGGAGGGTACAAAACAAACAAAACGTTTTGTCAAAAAATTAAATAAATGGTAAAGACTAGGGACGTCTGCTGTAGTGATTGTGCCCCATCAAAAATGAAGCTGTAACAATTATCTAAAAATGTTCGACCTTTAATAAAGTCAGGGAACTATAGTACAGCATGTGATTTAAACATACTATGCTTTATGGGTATAATGCTTAGTTGAATATTATTGCCCTTTTGTTCAAATTGTGGTTTTCTCATTTTTATTAAGCAATTAATGGAAGAGTTTTAAAAATCTGTTTTTAATCAAGAACAGGAAATAAATGTTCCAGACTCCTAGAAACATTTAAAATGTAAATTCTATAAATCTCTGAAAAGGATTTGGGTTACGAAGAGGTATGATTGGCAGTTGCTTCATAATTGTCAAATCACTCAGAAATAAGCCTGAGATTCGCTCCATGTACCATAAATAACAACAGGACAGCTTTGTTAAAAAATAACCAAAAAAAAAAAAATTATCGCATTAGTCTATATATGGATAAACAATGTCCAACCAAGTATTATGCAGAAATAAGCCTGAGATTCGCTCCATGTACCATAAATAACAACAGGACAGCTTTGTTAAAAAATAACCAAAAAAAAAAAATTATCGCATTAGTCTATATATGGATAAACAATGTCCAACCAAGTATTATGTAGGCCCAGTTTCTAGAGGATCCTTTCCTTTGACACCGAGGACTATATTTACTATAAACATCTTCTATTAAATGATGCATTGTTTATTCTTTTTTCAAAAGGGTGCAAGCTGTGTCAGTGTTCTTGGGTTGAAGAGTAATTTAAATAAGTCCTTTGGTTTATGTTGCATACAAGAAGGCTTTACAAGATCTAATCTTTTCTAAACCTGTTATGTTCTTCGGTTCAGCAGAGTTTCCTAATTGTAGCTATTAGTTCCCCTTTTTTGTGGTCTGTTCTGTCAATAGACCATTGAGTGTTCAGTAAATTAAGCCCAACCAGCAGCCAACACATTGAGACAGACGTTAAATCATAGCTTGGCTGCCTTTATTCCTTATTAGTATCTGTGAAATAGCTCATAAGCACAGGGACAGGATTTAACACGATGCACATTTGTGTCCTTCTCACATTTCCATACTGTACAATCAGGTATGTGAGGGGTTTTTTGTAGGCAACAGGTGTATGTCCGGCAACGGATCGCAACTCTCAGTGTCGCCCCCATACCGGACCGGGGACCGGCAACGGGATTGCAACCCTCGGTGTTGCTCCCGCGCCTCGCTCAGCCAGTGAGCGGGAACCGGTCTGTATGTGGGATCCGAACCCTGGGGCGGGAGCGCCGCCGCGCTTCCCAAGCTGGGCACTATCCAGTGCGCCACCAGGCCGGCCCTTATTTCCTTATTTTTTTAACCCCAAACCACAACTTTATTCAAGAATCAGATTTTCTGTGAATCTATACTGAAAATGGTTTTGCCAGGATTATCTCATCGCTGAGAAATCTACAGGCAGACGGATTTGGAATGGCACTATCCAGTGCGCCACCGGGCTGGCCCTTATTTCCTTATTTTTTTAACCCCAAACCACAACTTTATTCAAGAATCAGATTTTCTGTGAATCTATACCGAAAATGGTTTTGCCAGGATTATCTCATCGCTGAGAAATCTACAGGCAGACGGATTTGGAATTCAGTCTTCTGCGAGATATAATGGCCATTGAAAAAGAACCTGGTGATAAATTTAAGTGTTTAATTGGTTTGGTCATTACATTAGATTTTCACTAAATGCATACAAACAATGACTAACCTCAGAGATGGTGCTAACATTTTAAAAAGTATAAACAGTGTCTAAAACTGGGAAGCCGGCCTAGATATCTTTACACATCTCTCCCAATCCGGAGATTCTCACATTCTGTGATTTTGCTTTTCCTCAGGCTGTGCTTTTTTAAAAATTGTGGTAAGATATATGTAACATAGAATTTACTGTCTTAAGCATTTTTAAGTGTACAGTTCAGTAGTGTTAAGTATATTTACATTATTGTGAAAACAATCTCCAGAATTTTTTCAGCTTGCAAAACTGAAACTATGTGTCCATTGAACAACTCCCAATTCCCCTCTCCCCACAGCCCCTGGCAACCGCTGTTCTACTTTCTGTCTCTGCAAATTTGACTTCTCTAGGGACCTCATACAAAATGGAATCAGACAGTATTTGTCTTTTTGTGTCTGGCTTGTTTCTATTAGCATAATGTCCTCAAGGTTCATCCATATTGTAGTATGTAGCGGGATTTCCTTCCTTTTACAGGCTGAACAATATTCAATTGTGTGTACAGACCACGTTTACTTTATCCACTCATCTGTCAGTGGACACAGGTTGCTTCCACTTCTTGTTTATCATGAATAACACTGCTATGAACATGGATGTACAAATATAAATTTGAGACCCTTGCTTTCAATTCTTTTGGGTATATACCCAGAAGTGGAATTGCTGGGTCATATGATAATTCTATTTTTATTTTTTTGAGGAACCTCCATATAATTTTTCAAACAGTGGCTATAGCATTTTATGTTCCCGCCCACAGTGCACAAGGGCTCCAATTTCTCCCCATCCTCGCCAACACTTGTTATTTGTTTCTTTGATGGTAGCCACCCTCATGGGTGTCAGGTGATGTCCTCGGGCTGCACTTTAAGGAAAGAAGGGTGGCTGGTGACTGAGTCAGCTCAGCCAGAGGATCTATTTTAAAACATAAATTCAGTTGCTCTCAGTCCTCTGCCCAGGGCCCTCCAGGGGCTTCCCATCACACTTGTGACAAGAGCCAAGTCTCTTACTGTGACTGAGAAAGCCGTGTCGTGGTCTGGCCCCTTGCTATCTCTCTCCCTTACTCACCTTCTCTCTGGCCTCCCGCTCTGCTGAGAACATGCCAGGCTTGCTCCATCCTCTGGGCCTTTGCTGTTCCCTCTGCCTGGAACTCTTTTTTCCACATCATTACATGGCTCACTCCCTCCATCCACTCAGATTTCTGCAAAACTGCCACCTCCTCAAATATGCCTTCCTATGTTAAACAATATCCCTGCTTCCAGCACTTTCTATCTCATACCCTGCTTTCTTATTTTTTTTGTCATACTTAACACTACCTGAATTAGTTTATATATTTATATATATCATCTGTTCCCCAGACTGAAGTTCAAGTTCTTAGAGGGCAGGACCTGGCCTATTGCTCATCTTCTATTCCCTCCTTCTAGAACAGTGCCTGGCAATGGTCAGTCAGTAGGCGTTGCGGGAACAATTAACCGAATTAAAGCCTAAATGAATGTTTTAGCCTCCATCTGCCTAGTCAGCGTAGAAACAAAGACCTCATCACGCCCTTAGCCAGACCAGAGGCTGGGCTGGTCTGCTGCACTCTCCACAGGGAACAGGAAGGGAAGTACTCACGTGAGTCTCCACGTCCCCAGCAAGGATCCTACTGTTCTTTAGAAACTCGGCCACCATGCCATTCATCAGCTTATCAAAGGCTTCCACGGAGGGTGCCACACCTTTGGAGAAGAAACGTTTTGTTATTTCCTGGTAGTTTAATGAAAAGCTGGGACTGTCTTGCCATAGATAATACGGCAGTTTGGTATCACCAATGTCATTTGTAACAATTCATTCACTGAGTCATTCCTTCACTTAATATTTATTAAACACTTTTCAATGGCTCAGGAAAATATTGTTTTCGTGTTTTGCATCCTACTGAGTAAGGACTTTCACCTACATAGTTTCATTTCATTCTCTTCCAAACCCAGCGAAGTAAGAAGCACCATCACAGTGTTAGAGAGCAGGACATGGAAATGTAAACAGAGCACACGACTGGACCGGAGTTACCCTACACCAAATGACAGGCAGCTCCAGAAGCTGACACTAGCCAGATTCATCCAAAGCCACTGCATTTTCTTCTGCAGCAACCTGCCCAGGTGATACACCAACCATGCAAACAGTGACCGAGATTACCCGGGACCATCAAAAGGTAACAGTGAACTCCGGGCAAGGAGGAAAAGAAGGCTGATTTCAGTCATTTTATTCCTTCTCCACTTCCCAGGGGGAGAAGAGACTGCCACTGTGGGAATGAAAATGTCTGTTGGGCACCGCATGTTGGGTTTTGATCTGCCATGTGACTGTAAGAGCTGAAGTGACAACTGCCCAGCCACTGTGCTCTGGATGTCTATCCCTCCTTTTTAATTAACAGAAAAAAACCTAAGTCCTTGACTTCACATCCCTAACACTGAGAAGCATAATACTGAGAAATTCAGCACTACAGCCTATTAAAATCCAAACCAAAACCTAGGATTCCCTTTCTCACATTGTACAAATACATCATCGTGTTCACAAAACTATAGGATAAAGCTTCCTTCCTTTTCTCTGTTTCCCAGTTGCCCATTTCCATAGGCCCTAAGGGTGATGAAAACAGTGATTTACAGCTCTCTGCACCTACAGTATAACTTCTAAGCAGGCTGTTGCAGCTGAGTTATCTTTCAAAGTTCAAAACACAGTATGTACCAACTTCTGGAACATAAAAAGGGCACAAAGCCAACGATTCCTCCTGGATCCATTTGGAAACAGATAAATGTTTGTTGCTATGGGAGAAGTCTGAGAGGTCTCTGCTCAGTATTTAAAGTGGCAGAAAGTTTTAGAAATGTGACGGAGACCTCTACATAGCAGAAGGTACAATGATAAAAGGGACTCTTTTCCAATTTCCTTTCATCACTCAGCTCTGTTCACACCACCTCTAGGCGACCTTTAATGACCTGTCTTTCTCCCCAGACTGTATCCTTTGAGCATCCCTTAATCAAAGCATTTGTGGCCCTGACTAGTAATGCATTAAGACCAAAGATTCTGGAGGATTAGGACTGTGTATAATTCATCTTAGATTTCCATGCACCTAACACAATTTTGTCACTTGGCAGGAATGCAAAAATATTTCTTCAGTTGTTAAGCTGAACTTACCTCACTGTCAGGAAAGAATACCCTGCATCATAAAACACATCAGAACACCAGTATCATAATAGGGCAGTCCACACAATTTTGTCACTTGGCAGGAATGCAAAAATATTTCTTCAGTTGTTAAGCTGAACTTACCTCACTGCCAGGAAAGAATACCCTGCATCATAAAACACATCAGAACACCAGTATCATAATAGGGCAGTCCTTTGATCTATACATACTGTATATTTGTAATGGATTGTGTTCCTTCTAAAAGTTTCTTTTAAAATAAAAAAAATTAATTTTAGTTATAACATCATCATAATGATGATTTAAGGCGAAAAGTTGTTCTGAAGGATTTATTAAACATAGAATTTAGAAAACGACCAAAACTTATTAATTAAGAAGAAATGAAAATGATGTTGTTTAGGATTAGTAAAATGTTTTAAGGATGGATATCATTCAGACATTTTACTAATTATCCTACTTTCTTTACAGTAAGATAATAAATTGCCAGCTACGTTGTTTTAGAAGACTTTTGCTTTAATAACTGGTTTGAAATGATCTCTATATTAGAAAATATTGGCTGAACACTTAATCTAATTATATGCCCTTCAATTTTACTTAGCTTATTAATTTTCTCAGAAAAACTTTTTTATTAAAAAAATACAAAGTTTAGTCTAGTGCCTCTTTGAATAAATGAAGTTTAAATTATTAAGGTTTTTTTTTTCATTACTTGACAATACTATAAATCTCCTGGAAGCTAGATTTTAACTTTATTTTGTGTATTCACAGGATTTATATTTGTGGTCAGCAATCTCAGAGAAATATCTTTAATTGCCTGATGCCAATGGCATGATGAGACAAAGTTACTGAAAAGAACATAAAAATATTTTCTTACAAATAACGTTTAATGACTCTCATATACCAACTGGATGGTTAACAAAAAGAGGCTTAAAATGAAATCATAGATGTGTCTCAGTTGGTGCGGAAACAACTTATAGGCTCCTGGCAGCTTTCCTTTAAACAACACCCCCTTTCAATTCATTCAAAGCATTTTAATTTTCATTATGTTCAGGGGGGAAATAAAACAGCCAGCACATTTGTGCTCACACAGTAATTTCTGTCCCATGGCATGTAATAAAAGGCACAGCTCCAAATATGCCTGAAATTCTAGAAGCATCAATGTAGGTCTATCCTGGTGAAAGCTTTTCTTTAAGTCCTCTTCCCCAAGGCTTTTCTCAGCCCCCCAAAGCCTGGCAGGATTCAAAATGAGTCAGATAAGGAAGAAATGCACATGTGACAAGAACAGACTTGCAGTATTAAATACCGTATAGACTGCCTGGTTAAATTGAATTTCAGATAAGCAATGAATAAATTTTTAGTTAAGTGTGTACCATGCAATATAGCCCATGTAGTATTTGGAACACACTTATACCACACACAAAAAAATTGTTCTTTATGTGAAATTCATATTTATATGGGGGTCCTGTGTTTTTATTTGCTAAAGTGTATCCTTAGACAAGAAGGGATTGGAATTATTGTAGGTAACTTGGAGAGTTTGCCATATGTGTATATGTACCCTTTTCAAGAAAATAATTAACTTTTCATTTTTGATCATATGATTTTTTAAAATCTTTTTTCAAGCGTGGTATTAGTATATACAGTCAGCCTCTGTATCCACAGCGTCTGCAAATATAACCAATCATGGATCAAAAATATTAAAAAAAAATAATGCAAATATAAACAATATATAGTAAAAGCTATTTACACAGCACTTACATTGTGATAGGTATTACAAGTAATCTAGGAATGACTTAAAATATACAGGAGGATGTGTATGGCTATATGATTTTATATCAGAGACTTGAGCATTGTGGATTTTTATATCTGTGGGGGTCTTGGAACCAATTTCTCCAAGGATACGGAGGGACAGCTATAATTTTAAAAGCATATTTGGTTAGAAATAGGCAAAAATAAAACAATGTGATGTGGCCTTGTTACATCAAAATCATATTTAGCCTCACATCAGACTTTCTTCAGAACTGTTGTTCCTAAATTTAATGGCTTGTTCTCTCTAAAATTAAAATCTACAGAATGACAATTCCTTCCAATTTACATTCTAATCGAGAACATTTGTTTCTTGTTTGATAATCATTTAGATAATATCAGTCATTGAGTGTGGAACAGCAGTATAAACACTAAAACGAAAGAATAATGACATGTCGCACACAAATTCTGCTCTTAAGAGGTAAAGATATTGATAATTTTTGTGGATTCTGGGTTGAAACTTTTCTGCTTTCTCTTTTTCAGGGATTGCTTGCCTCTGGTTAATGTCACGGTCACATATAAAGGAAGGAGTAGGAAAGGTGAAAAAGTAGATAGAAATATTTCTGGAGAACTAAACGATGGGAACAAAATCAAGTGACCCACATAGAGACCAGTAATGACAACAGTTTGGGGCCCTACCTCCATTGACACCGTTAACTTCCCCACAGTGCCTAGGAGGCCTGTGTGACTCTGCAGACAGTGACTCCAGTCGGCTGACAGCTCGCTCCATTCTTTCCAGCAGCCCCTGCATGTCTGCCATTCTAGAAAAACACAGGCACAAATGGAGGCCACGTGAGAATCAGGGAGGATTAGCAAACTGACACCATTAAACCTAACAGCAGGAAGGAAAATAAAAATCACTTGGAATGGCTTTAACTACCTAAGGATATTTCTACACACCAGGAAAATATGTGACTTTCGAAAGAACATAAAACTTGGAACCAAAAATAGCGAATTATATTGAACTTATTTCCTATTCAATTCAATGATTTCTACAAGCCTAATATGTAATACACAAATATTCCCTCCCTTTACACCATTCTCAAGTGCCTGCATGAATGCTTCCTTGTTATATGAAACAATATATGTATACCATTTACTTAAAAGCCCACAAACATATATCTCAAAATTAATATTGCCAACTCTTATTCTGCTAAATGATGGGAGCATAGTTGAACTATTTCCAATAACTTTTTCTGTTAAAGTATAATTCTCCAGGGGACACTAAACCCACTGATAATCCTTGTTTACTAAAATACATGAAACCAAACAGCCCAGCACAGAACTATGAGTTTATGAAACTGTATCACTTAGCAGGCAAGGAGAGGCCACCCCCTCCAAGAGCTAATTGTTTTCCTCTTATTACTGATTTGTTTTGGTGTTCTGTTGCTGAATTATTTTAAATTGCAATTATTATTAATGGTGTGGATTTTAATTAACACTATTCAAAATGGTTATTTTCTATTTGTAAGGCTGCTAGTTATTTTTAGGCAATATTTAGTGTTAGGTGGGGTGGTTTTGGATCTTCAGATACCCAGTACTTTTGGCTGGGGTAAATAGGGATTGAAGCTGATGACGGGACTAGGGATAAAAGTGGGGCTGGGTATCCATCCTTCCTACTTCCAAACAGATACTTAAATGAGTGTGTATAGGGTAAGTACCTTAAAATTACTGGCCCTGGAATTTACATATCATTAAGGCAAACTGTGAGGAATGGAACCCAATCTAATTTGGCCAGATTCATGAGATCCAACTTATAGCCACCATGACCCTGACCATACCAACTTATGACTGCTTTTGAAATATCTGGCTGCTGCCTCAAAGAGAACAGACCATGCCTCAACTTAATTGGTGCCTGTAGTTCTTAGTCTTAAGAACTTTCTGAGCATCATTCTGCTCAAAAGAAGAGCAGCATGACACACTGCTGCCCTAGAGCCTGGGTAAATTTCATTGCTCTAAGATGTGTACATATTTTATATTTCTGCTGGGAACCAGGTAGCATGTTTCTCTTTTGTATTGTGTATTTTTAGTTTTGAGCTTAAATACAATAATGACGTGCCACTGCCATTTTTAAAAGCAAGGTTACATTTGTCAAAACATGTGCACAGCTCTGATTCTGTGTCCAAATGTCAGATGGTCATCAGATACAGAAGGCGGGGTTTGCTGTCTATTTTGGAAAGTCATCTCTCCTGAAACTGCCAGCAGCGACTCTTTCAAAATATGGGGCAGTGTTCTCTGCATGGCTGAAATCAGCATCTAATCCTAAGGGGATTCAAAATTAGAAGTTTCTCATCTATTTTCCTCTTCACGTCAGAGCTTTTGCTTCCATCGCAATTGAAGAAAAAAAAAAAAGAAGAAATTTAATTAAATCCTTTATGTAATCTTTTTGCAAGGAAACTGGGTATTCTGTAGGTGGGTGAAGGCCATTTGAGAAATGATGAGAGCCCCTGAAATCTTTTAATAGTTGCCCATCTGTTCACAGTTATCAATGTCCCTGGTTACCCAACTTGCCAAATGTTACCAACATAGACTTAGTCCGTGATAGAAAAAAATGTGTCTGCTTTGTTAGCAAGCTCCCTACCCCCCCGAAAGAAAAGCACCAACCACCTCCAGCAGCTCACAGATCAAGCTATTTTGGGAAGGCCTTTTACATTTCACACTTAGGACTGCTGTCTGTGACTGTGGCTTAATCAGGTAGTTTGGCTGAGTATAGAATTCCAGGCTGAAAAGTACTCAGAATTTTAAAGGTATTGGTCTATTGTCTTCTAGCTTCTAGTTTGCTGTTGAGAAGTCCAAAGCCATTCTGATTCTTGATGCTCTGAAAATAACCTGCATTTTCCTGTCTGGAGGAAGTTTTTGGAACCTTCTCTTTGTCCCCAGTGTCTGGAACATTTATGATAGTATGCTTTCTGGTCGATCCATTTTCTTTATAAATGATTTTCAAGAGGTGTAGATAAGGTAAGAAAATGGACTTTGTATATTGTTTGTCTCTGGGTGAATTTACAAACCAAGTTTTGTTTTTTTCCGTAAGTGAGTTAGCATTCAAAATATTTAAACAATTCAAATTTTTCCTATGCCATATTTCTCACAGTATTTACAAATACTTCATACACTTCAGCAAGGATATAGTGAATCAGTATTCTCTCATGTGCTATCTTGTGTTAATAAGGTATTCCGAAATCAAGAAAATATTTTCCTAGGAGAAAAGATGGCTCTCATTGCTGACATTTTTTTTTGCCTCATTGGTCATTTTATAAAACCCAACCTCAAAGTACAGATACTTAATTCCTAACATTGTCCAATTTTATGTCCAATGTTAAGCCCACAGTACAATGACTATGCTTATAGCACTAAGAGAGACAGTATTTCTATCCTTTTTTGATAGCAATTTCCAGAAAAGGAGAGTTCCACACACTTTCAAACATTTTATAACATCTCAATTGTCTTGCTCATCTTTAACCAGGATAGTACGGAGGGGGCTTTCAAACATTTTATAACGTCTCAATTGTCTTGCTCATCTTTAACCAGGATAGTACGGAGGGGCCCTCGCACAGGAATCAGACACACCTGCTTTACTACTCTGGCTCTCACTAGCTTGGGGCTTTGAAAAAAAAGCTTAATTTTGCTTTGGTTCAGTGACTACCTATACCTATTGAGTTATATCAAGTCTGGAACACGGTCAGTAATAAACACGTTAGCTACTGCTATTAAGATATTCCACCTTCTTTTGCTCTCAGTGGGAACAGTTATGGTATTTGAAATGTTAAACAGTCATCTAAAAGACCTAGTCAGTGGAAATGACTAACTGACAACTTCAGGTCAGTATACC